CGTGCAGAGCTGCCGGGAGGAGGGAGGGAGTTCATCCACAGCTGGGATTGGGAAGCAACTCTGGATCTTGTGGTCAGGTAGCTGGGGGATCGAGTCATGTACAAAAACCTCGAGGAGAAGCGTTGTGTGATAGGACAGGTGGGTTTTTTTTACTTTTTAACACATAAATGACCTGTAATTACTTATTAAGGACCCAGCAATTAAATGTTGATAATAATTACTGGGTGGGAGAAATCACTGTGTTAATTTAGGGGTAATTTCAATGAACAGTCCTTACTGTAGGTGTTGTTTGGGCCAGCTCCAGCGTGTGGAGCAAAACAAGGAGTTGTGGGGAGCAGTGAAAGGTTACAGTGGCAGTTTTGTTACCTGAGTAATTATCTTGGATAGAGAGTGGAGTTTGGTTTCTCTGGGGTGGCTCTAGACTGTCTCCAGGAGCCCTTGGTACACCCCCTCTGGCAAAATATCTGCCTTTTATTCCCTTCTTACAGCCTAAGATGTGCTTTTCTCTCCCCAGTACTGGTAATTGGCCCTCTGGAGAGTAACGCCTCCCATGCAGGCTTCTTCAGAAATGCCAAGGTGGTGAGAAATTCCCTTCGCCGGGGTTTGCAGCCTCCTAGTATCAGTGTTGGCAAAGAAAGTGTCCCAGAGCATAAAGATAGGGATAGCGTCAGCGGTTCCCAGGGAAACCTGGGAGGAGGAAGGGGATCACAGGTACATGTGCATTCTGGTGAAAACAAGGCCCTGGTGGCAACGCTGCCTTTCCAGGCCGAGCAGCAGCAAAGAGGGCTGCGCAGACGTGGGCGGAGTGAACCTGCTGCTGCTGTTAAACCCGGGCTGTGGCTCTTAGGTGGGAGTTGTTCCCAGTAACCTTTGAACCTCTCCATTCTCCATGTGCAATAAGCTTAAAAACCCCAACCCTGCAGTGTTTTACAGCCTGTTGCTGTGCCTCTCACCCCTCCAAGCAAACTTGATGTTGACTGCGTTAAGGTTGTTTACAAGCTGGAGCAGCTTCCAGCTGACCAGTTTTGCCTGATGTTTATTTATAGAAGGCGCAGGAGCCGGGGAAGGAGTGATGTATATGTTTTTTCCCAAGGGAGAGGCTGTTCTGGTGGGTGCAGGGCAGCTGCAGTGTGTCAGGAATTGCAGTAACACAACACCTATTTGAACAGAGGTGACGTAGAGGAGAGTGAGCAGGGAAATAGAAGCACTTGAGGATTCCAGCAGACTCTGTAAATGAGTTACTGCATTATCACTGGATCCTTCGAAGTTGAAAGCCAAACTTTCAAAACTGGAAGCCAGTAACTGCTGGCAGCTTTTAAATAGCAACGTTTTTCTGTGGTTCTACTTGGGACAGAGAGGGCTTGCTTGCTCCAAGCCCGGTGTCTTGTGCCAGTTCTCAGCCAAGGCGGTCCAGGAGGAGCTAAGCTGCCTGGAGGGGGAGGTGGAGAGAAGCAGGGAAATGTTCTATGGATGGATCTGTGAGAAAGGACCTGTGGCCTCTTAAGAGAAAATTCTGTGGGATTTAAATCCAAAACCGTGACAGCCACCACTCTGTTGTGTTCTAAGAGTAGGGACATGTCAGCCTCTACATCTGGTGGTGCTCCAGAGCTTGCACTGAAGTTCAGTCCGTGCCCAGGCTCTCCAGCAGCCCTGCAGGCATCCTTGGCCCCTCCTGAGCGGCATGGGCTGCTCAGAACTCCAAAGGCAGCACTTGCAGGTTTCAGCACAGGGCAGGTGGACGGGACTGTCCTCCTGTACAGTGTTCCCTCCTATCCTCTGAGGAGCCAGGGCTAAGGAGAACCTCCCATCCTGCTCTCTCTCCGTGCTGGGGTTCCATGGCTCCCTGGTGGGCTGGATTTAGGAGGCTGGTACTTGCTTGGGAGGGCGTGCTTGGTGCAGAAGGAGCTTGAGGTAGGTTGAGCCAGAGAGGAGGAGTGAGAATTGGGACAGTCTGGAGACCAGAGTGCTCCCTGGGAGGGGCTTAATGTCAACTGAACGGATTTGGGACTGTCTTGTGCAGACGTAGGGTGAGGCTTGGGTGGTTCTTAGACAGAGACTACGATCCAGAATTTGGGCCCTGTGAGTGCACATGCCAGTCCCAGGTCCAGGATGGCCTGCGGGAGCTGTGCTTTGGCTGCCAGTCCCTGCTGGCTCCTCTCGATTTAAATACACTGGGACAACCATTCAGGGTGATAGGAGCACACACCCATCTGCAGAAATACCTGAAACGGGGTCACCGCCCCTGTATCAATCACCCTGGCTCTCGATATCCACCTTAATGAGGACTAGGCAGCTCTCGGCTCCTTCCTGGGGTGCGGAGCAGGGCGAGTGCTACTCTGCGTGCAGAGGCTGCGGTGCAGGGCGAGTTGGCTCTGGGGCTGGTTGCTGTTGGCTGGGCTTCAGTCGCAGAGGGAGCAGTCCCATCTCCAGTCTGGTGGCTTGGGGCTGACCTCTGCTGACAGAGCAGGCAAACGGCTGC